TCACGGCGCAAGTTTGGGACTCCGCGGCTGACATAACCGAGATCACGGTGGGAGTGCCTATGGCCGTATTCCCCAAGAACAATATCATGCAGAAAACGCTCAAGGCGTACATGGAGTGAGTAGTTACATTTTTATATAGATATGAGTTAGCTTGTGTTAGATAGAGGTGATCGAGCAATTTCCTATTGGTTAACAAATATCGTCCTTATTCTATTTAAATAAAGTTGAAAATAGTATTCATATGAATACTATTTTCCTTTTTGTCTTTTACTTATAGTCCTTTACTTATTTACTTTAATATTAAAGGAGATACAATTCAAATAGATTTTAGCTGTCAAAGGAAATATGTAGATCTTCTGCCGGGAAATGTCTAGCAACGGCAGCGACTACCTCTCTCTGTGATAGTACGAACTTTTATATATACAGGAGAGTTGTTTGGAAATGTTGATACCGTGATTTAGGCTTCTGTGGTTGTTCGGTGCATACAATTTGAATTTTAACTCGGCCAAATGATCTGTAACATAATATTTATAATGTTATATCCTCGATTTCTTTTCCTTTTCAAAGGATTGAGGTAGAAAATAATGATGTTAAGGTCATAAAAAATAAAGATATACCCCCACTACTAAGAGAAAGCATGTATTCTCTTTTTTTCGGTTAAGAAACAATCCAGTGTGTGTTGGCTAGCGATAGGTCGTCGACGTATTTGTAGTTAACGAAACTAAACCGTCCATTTTCCTTCAACGACTAGTCGATCAACTAGTTAAATTTGTCAACTAGCTTACGCTTCAACTTGGTTTTGCAGACGTTTAAATTTAAACTCCGCGGCGTCATCTATGGCTCGACATAGTGGACCATACGTAGACCGTAGACCAGTGTAACGACATGATGTATAAAGTTGTCTATTATTAAGTCACCCTTCTCTTTTGCACACGCGATGATACTATGACGGCATTCTTTTCTCTACCTAACACAATAACAAACTGCTATTTATACTCTTACGCTGTCTACATTTAGAGTTCTAATTTGTTTGCGCAATAATGTCATTTCAACGAACATAATGTTAGTCGACAACGTTCTCGCGTCGGTTGTCGCTTTGCTAGTCGAAATGAACGTTATGGAGTTCGTCAACCGTCTACTCGTTCACAGTACGCCACGGTCGAATTAATTTGTTCGTTCATTCAACGTCCATTGCTAGTGTTGCTTGGCAAACATCACAATGTACGAGTTACGTTACAAATAAAAACAAGGAGAAGATCGTAACTCAACAATATTTTTTGTAATGTATGCGTATATACAGAAGCAATATCTCCGTGATAAGTTCATCGATATTGTTTATTTTTATCGATAGAATATATTTTACAAACATCATCATTATCATCATCATTACAAATCTTCACAAGTACACTGCTAAACGTAGGCTTCCCTTAAGAAGTGCCACAAAGCACTGTCTTGAAACACCTGCATCCTACGACTTTCTGCATCTCTTACCACATCGTCACTCCGTCTAGTAATATCGAGCACTGCTTATAAATAAAATTGAAGTGTCCATCTGTAATATCGACATACTCAGCAATGTCAGGAATTATCTAGGCTGAATATTGTCCGTAATCTTTGATGATTATCTTAAATCTAGAAAACACCACATTAATACATCTTTCCTAACCATGTAGTGGTGGTGTAAGAATATCCCCTACCCCATATCGTCCCGAGGGTCTCGTAAGAGATTACAGAGGGAAAATGAAACAGAATATAGGCAGCAGTATCTTCCTGATAACAATTCAAAATAATAAAACACTGCGTTTGCCAATCCACTTGCCAAGCGTGGCAACTATGGCAAAATCCCTCCATAAGGCAATCTATGAGGGAGGTCTATATTCAGCAACCTTTAGAGGCTGTAATTGATAGATGGATGCAGATACTACCTAGGCGAAGCCAGGGCAGGTCGCTAGTTTTAATTAAAATTAAATGCCATAAATGTCATAAATTATTGTTACCCTACTTACCGTCTAAATATTTATATTTATAGAAACTTATCATGGAAAATAATATCAGATATGATAAAGCCTAAGTGCATTGTAATCCTCTGTCACCTTTCGTTTTATCGTCAATCGCTCTTATTCCGACAAAATAAGATTTAAAATTATTATTCACATTGGAAAAAATCCATTTGCAAGTTATGCAATTTTCTGTCTGTTGATAACGTCGTATTATGTATTATTATATTTGATTACGTGACTGGTAAAATTCAAGGTTAATTTGATTTCGGTTGTATTTCTAAAAAAATTGTGCAATCAATATAAAGTGAGTTGAGGATGCCGAATACAGGACCTATCCTCTCTCATCAACAACAAACAGTCCACTTTTGAATATGGGTCGTTCAGATTACTTGTAATTACCAAGTTTGGCAAGTCAAATTGCCAAATTAATCCTGGTGTATTCGCCAATTCGATTGCTCGAATGCCAATTTGACTTTTCGAATCCTAATATCCGAAAAGTTGATAAAACATTGGCACTCCATAATCGTCCAACCCTTCAACACTTGTTTTGTGTAAAGGGACAACACCAATCAGAGAAATTTAGATGGAACAAAGGAAGTAATCTGTATGCCCAACGTTGGCATGGAAAGGCCACATACCCTGGTATACTCTAGCAGTATGGACCAGTTGGGCCAACCCACTTTGATTAATATAAGCATGGTTCAAGAGCGTGAATTTTTTAATCCATGATAAAGATATCAAATCGATATGATTTCGGATACACTAAGAATGACGTAGGCACCGCCTATCGCCATGACCTACACGTATCTCACAAATCCTGTCAAATGTTTTGTACACATGAAGTATCAATTCCATCTTGTTTTATTAAACAGAGACATAATATAAACACTCACACCTGTTACACAGAGGGTAGGCAGTGACTGCAGCTATGTTATAGCTATAGCATGAATGGTTCGGCTCGATTAGGGAAGGATTACTCTCTCGCAGAATACCAACGTAAAATAGCAGCTATATACTGTTACGTTTTGTTTGATGAGTGTAGAGAACCGGAAGCCATTTTTACTGTAAACGAGACATTCCATCTTAGTTCTAAGAGGTGTCAACGCATCTGCATTTTGATTCTTGAATACGAGGGTTACACTGAAAGTTCTTAGAAAATCAAAAACTAAACAAACTAGCAATTTATTAGTTATATTATATCTTATAGTGTCCATTTACATCAATACATCGCTGCAACACAGCATTTGAGTCACCTCCATTAAATCTTTGAACCAACACGATGAAGTTTTTGGACCTCTGTCAAATTATGAGGTATCCACCGGCCACAAAGCTTCCTGACCACTAAATGTTCATGGAGGATTTTGTGCACTTGACTCATACCGATGCCTAAGCTTGTCCGAATCTGCTGCTAAGTCACTCTTTTGTCTTTTGTCTATCATACGCCGCACAACACTGATGTTATGTTCAGTCGTCGCCGTAGAAAGAAGGCTGTCTCTCACGCAGATCATCGGTGAGATTAGTGCGACCACGTTTAAACTCATTAAATCAGTTGTAAACAGTGGCACGAATTGGGGCTTCATCGTGGAAGGCCAATTGAAGTCTATCATAACTTTCTTGTTGATTTAATTTGTATGATGTCATAAAAAACCATTGTACGAAAATTTTCTCGCGTGAAATTCATACTGACGTGACAAATTAATAAAATACATACACAATAATATTGGCAAAGGGTTCCTTTTTCAAAATTTGAACTTATTTTTTAATTATATCGTTTACAAGTGGCCAGTTCTTAAAACTTTCAGTGTCGCCCTCGTAAGGATAGATGTAGATGTTTATGAGCAACAGCATCCACTGCTGATTTTTAACAGTGGTAGATCCACGTGGCGGCTTTTGCTGTCGCACGGATGGGCCGGCTCGAACCGGGGTGGTACCACGACCTCACAGAATACCAACGTGAAGTAGAGGTTTACCTCTGCGTTTCGCTTGGTGAGTGCAGGTTGCCGGAGGCCCTTTTTACTGGAAATGAGGTATTCCATCTTAGTCCTCACGGGTGACAACACATCTGCATTTGGATTTGTAATAGAGGATAGATGTAGATGTCTATGGGCCGCAGCAACCACTTACCATCAGGTGGACTGTGTGCTCGTTTGTCACCCTTATCCAAAAAAAAAACTGTAGTGACAGTGTAAGAATATCTACTACCCAATATCGTTCCGTCTTGTGGGTGTCGTAAGAGACGACAGAATGTTTTTTTTTTATAGGATAAGGGTGACAAACGAGCAACAGTCCACCTGATGGTAAGTGGTTGCTGTGGCCCATAGACATCTACATCTATCCTCGATTAAGAATCAAAATCAGATGCGTTGTCACCCGCGAGGACTAAGATGAAATGCCTCGTTTCCAGTATAAAAATGGTCTCCGGTTCTCTACACTCACCATACGAAACACAGCAGCGTTGAGCTGCTATTTTACGCTGGTGTTCTGTGAGTGCGTGGTCCTTCCTAGGTCGAGCCGACCCATTCGTGCTACAACTATAATATAGCTGCAGCATGGCTCTACCACGTGTAAAAACCGAAACAGGTGGATAGGCAGCAGCATCTTCCTGATAGCAACTCAAAATAAAAAAACTGCGGTTGCAACTATGGCAAAATCCCCCTTATGAGGCAATCCATGAGAGAGGCATATGTTCAACAGTGCACTGTTATCGGCTGTCATGGATAAATGGATGATAAAGTAAGCTGGGCACAGACCTCGCATATCTGGAAGTGTTTTTGTGGCAAGAAATTCGGAGAGGAGCACGTGTTGGCAGATTGGTCCTCGAAATTTTAAATTTCTCTGACTTCCCGGTTTCCTCACGATGTTTTCCTTCAATTGTTGATCATGTAGCAAAGCATTAAAATTACAGTCAACGGTTATTTCAGTTCTGCCGGCGGATATCAATAACCATAGCTATAGTCGCGATTAGATAAATACTCATTTATTTCTATTTAATAAGTAGCGACTCGCACTGGCTTCGCCCTGGATATGATATATTAACGTGGCGTCATTTAGAAAATAATAGACAGATAATTAAAAAAAAAATAGTTAAATTTTTTGGATAAAATATAGTCTAGATCTCTCAAGCCGACATTGTTCTCTATCCGTTCGTAAAGCATAATAATCGGTTTACTCATTCCGCGGATGGCCCGGACAGAAGGACAGACAGACAGATAGAAATTTTAAAAATGGTGCGTTATGTCCTAATAGCTTGCAAAGTAGAGTGTAATAAAAGCCAGATATTTCAATATAAGAGACGCTTCAATTTATATGTATAGATGAAACCCCTTTTTACCCTTGTATAGCAATCTGCCCTTGCTTCCAGATACCATTTGAAGACGTTCCATGACGTAGCGACTACTCACTACATCCGCTCATCGCAGCTGTTCCACACGAACCTGTGCAGAGCGCCGGCTCTGTTCCTGCTGTCCCAAAGCGACCCAGTGGGCGCTGAGAGTAGTAACCGAGCGGTTTACGATTCCTGGTGCAAGATGGGCATTAAGGTAACAGTACACTCATCATCGTCATTGATCTGTTGAAGTCCACTATTGGACACGGTACTTTCTAAGAATATGCGCGCTAACGACCCTAGACTATATTAACTTGTAACTAAGATATCATTTTCAGGTACGGATTTACCGTAACAGATATATTTGCAAAAGTGTATGAACATAGAATTATTAAGTACAGAATCCTAGTATGCGCACCGAAAGTGAAGCAAGTAAAACTAACGCGTAATCGACCCGTCAGTGCGTGACGCCTTACGGAGAAGAGCTCGCGATAAATTGTAAAAATTACTTGAAATATTGTCACAACAGTAATGACAAACATAAAAAAGTGATGGTGTTAAATTTCAGAGATAATTTCATATATTTAATTCATTATTACGTAAATCACTCGTAAGACCAAACAAAAACTTACCTAAGCTATCATGATACAAATGTTGCTAGTTGTGAGGAAAAATATGCACAATTTTCATTTAAAAATCTTTAATTTCTATTATTTATTTTAAACGTTAAATCGCAACGCTCTGTTTAAAATTCAAATGTTTAAATGTGGATACCCACTTATCTAAGTATTATCATACTATTAACAATGGGTGCCTATTTTAAACGATCTATTGAAGCCATTTTAATACTGTTTTATTTTTATTGCGTTGTTCATTGACCAAGTATAAGTTTTAGACTATAGAATAAAGACTTTTTATTTACTATCAATTAAAAGCGAGTAACTCTAAAAACAACCATTAAATTTTTAGCGTGTATATTTATATTTTCTTTCAAATAAGAAAAAATCCAAATCAGTTTAGAAGTGACGGAATTCTGAGGTAAAAAATATAAAAAATACACTGAACTGAGAACCTCTTCATTTTTCTGAAGTCGGTTAAAATTAAACATTACACGATGTCCTTATTGCATTCGACCGATTAATTGTGTATAACATAATGTCCTTAAATTTTATTACGTCTGCATTTATTTCTAACGTTAAAATATGTATAATAAAGTTGTATTAGTACCATGATTATCGTGTTTATTTTATTACATTTTATATTCTCATAATATACGTCATCGTACGTAATACGTAATCTTTATTTTATCAATTAATTATAATTAATCAATAAAATTGTGATTTGCACAATTTGATTGCATACGCCAGAAACTGGTATCACTGAATGCCGTGTATGTGTGCGTATGACGAGCGTACCTACGAACATAATAACCTTGTGTCACTTTGACGCTCGTGTTTTGTACTAGACTGCGCTTTTACCGGGCGATTATTCTATGTGTATGAATTAATTAACATTTTATATAAATTTATTTTGTCTGCAGTGCACATGGCAATGCTGGGACCGCTCACCGCACGTACAACATTTTATAAAGCACCGAGAGGAATACTTGGAACTACTGATGGCTCACCTTCGCGAACATGCTCTGAAAACGCAGAAGTCACGGGCTCACGCCTAAAACTCCCGTAAAACGTCCTGCTGTACACCGTAATGACGGCCCAAATACTAACAATCTCTTGGAATTGAAGTATCCTACGTAACCCTGAAGCCAGTTACACAGAACTTTCCAAATAATGAAATCAAATGCGTAAAAATATTATGCTCAGTGAAATATGGAAACTTGATTATATTTTGGGGTAAGAAAAGGTATACTTTACTCATATTATACAACTTGTGGGTTGAATTTTTACTAAACCTAATTATTTTAGAGAATAGAAAACTTTAGTAGAATAGAATTGTAAGTAGATTAAATTAAAATTAAACCATTTTCTCGATGTAACAGCCTCCCGGAAGCCCTAGCAGTATATCGTAGACAATGACTATTATCGTTTTAAGATATTTTTAAGTAGAATATAATATGTCGATCGTGGTTTTAGTTATTTCATAGTATGTTGCAAAATAATAAAATTATGAGTTTGTCCTTTTTTAACAGCAATTCGATTTTTTTGATGAGACCAGACATGTGGCTTGCGGTAGTTCAGCAGTGATGGCTTGGAGTAATTAGCAAATGTCTTATTATAGTAGTACAATGATAAAAAAGAGAGGCAGCCATAAGGACCGCCGACAGAAGTGAAAATTCAATAATATATGCCCATACATGTACACAGGCTGCTATTATACTCGTCGCTATTATAGCGTCTGGCTTGCGTGACGTATTGCACTTGCCCGCAATACGTCACGAACGTGTCAACACGAGTCACGAGCATGTCGAGGTCATCAGTGATGCGAACCCATAAGTTTTTTCGCTACCAAAAATCTCTAAAGATGTTTTATGTCAATAAATAGTTGTATTTTAAATAGGGAAACCAAAATACGGTCTCAGATTTTATTGTATGCTGGTAAAATGTGTAAAGACTAACTCAAATGTTTATTACACAATTGTATTTGTAGGTTATTGCTAAAGTTAATTTATTATTAAATCAAAATGAAAATCCGTCAAAAATATTTCAATGAACTATAAGGTAAGTGAGGGTAATATTATAGTCACCTTAAGTTTTGCCGCCCTATAAAACCAAAACTAGAAAAAGGACAGAGACAAAAACACAATGTCGTATACTATAACTAATATATTAGGAAAAAAAATAGCAAACAAGCGTTGGCAATAATTAGAAACACTGGGAAATCAACAAAAAAAAAATAACTGTAATACACAACACTAAAATCGAATAAAATGTTTACAATAATTTCAACTGTCAAAATGGCGTTGATAAAGCAGCGTCCTTTTGATCCTTTATTATTTGATTGACTGATGAAGAGCTATCGTATCACACAGCCATCTATGCAAACAAGGCTGTAATAGTTTTTGAGTTATAAGAAAGTGAACATATTAATCGGATGACCATATTACACTCACGTACTTTAATTATATATATTTTTATATACTGAAGTAACAAACGAACCTATATATAAAAAATATACCTAAGGCCTTGGAAATCATTTAAAAATAAATTGGAATAATTTCTTAATTTTTATGAGGTTTTTTTTCTTGTTCTTCTGTAAATTGTTCGTAACATGGTAGAGACATTTCTACGTGGTAGAGCTACGCTTCAGCTATATTGTGGTTGTAACACCAGTGATTTGGTTCGACCGGGGAAGCACCACGCTCTCATAGAATACCAGCCTAAAATTTAAATAGCAGCTTAATGTTACTGTGTTTTGTATGATGATTGTAGAGAACCGGAGATCCTTTTTACTGGAAACGAGGCATTCCATCCTAGTCCTCTCGGGTGCCAACGCATCTGCATTTTGATTCGTAATCGAAGATAGATGTAGATGTTTATTCGCCAAAGCATAGTCTTAGCGTCAGGTGGACTGTGTGCTAGTTTGTTATCATTTTTCTATAAAATAAAAGTTTAAGATTTTTAGATATATTATATATTTATAAAACAGAAATAAGAGTGCCTTATGACACAGACACATTGTTCTTTCAAGCTCTTGAAGATTAAAGTAAATATTGATTTATATATTGTAATTTTAATCGTTAGTCCTTGTTCACCCAAACTCGTTATATTCACCCAAAAGTTTTATTGTTATTAGAAATGCGCAAAACAACATTTTTCAGGAGATCTTGACTCATTCGGCCATTATAGCCATCAAAAGTCTACTGTTAATCATAGGCCTCCTCCATTGATTGTCTTATAGGGGAATATTTGCCATATTGCCACGCTTGGCAGGCAGTTTGGCAACCACAGTTTTTTTTATATTTAGAGTTATCAGGAAGATGTCGCCGTCTATATCCTGGCCCATTTCCCTCTGTCGCCTCTTCATCATGAGATGACATGAATAGAATAGAATATAATGATTTTTATTGAATACTAACGATCCGCCCCGGCTTCGCACGGGTAAATTCTGGATCTTGACAACAGCGTCACCTGCCGAGTCCAAATGTGAATCTAAACCCTCTAGGAACCCTTTGAACACACACAAACAATTTCATCAAAATCGGTCTAGCCGTTTTTAAATTTTAGCAAGATTTAGCAAGACAGGTATTGATGTTTATATACAGGGTTGTTTTTCAAAGAGTAGCCAAATTTTAAACTTAATTTCAAATATAAATAATGATATACCGTTATTGCAGTTTGTAAAAATTCGAGTAATTCGGGCTTCTACTTTTATTTGGAATTTATGGGCAACACCGTTTTTGTCTACCGATCGACCCTTACGAATGTGTGCGTGCGCAGTAAAATCAGTCAAAAGAATGCATTACCACGCATTTTGAATTTAAAAGATAAAAAGTACAGAATGTTTGAGATTTTTTTAATAAATTTATCTTTACCGTTTACCTATACCTACATATTACATATTCTGAACCTTCTCTGCAAATTTGGCCGGTTGTTGCAAAATAGCCCTGTATAGAGATAGATTATTACATAAATACTTATTGAAAGTCATTTTTTACTTACCACTGGTTCGGATATATACTAGCTGGCCAGGCAGACGTTGTTCTGTCCTTTCCAACGACCCTTCCCATAAAAAAATCCTTAAATTCGCAATAAAAAAATATTGAAGGTTATTTATCGGGATAAAAACTATCCTACTATCTTTCAAGTTAGACCAAACTGCACACAATGTGCAAAATTTCATTGAAATCAGTTCAGTAGTTTAGGAGTTCATCGCGGACAAACAATGTGACACGTAATTTTTATACATATATAAAGATATATATATATATATATATATATATATATATATATATGTATATATATATATATATATATATATATATATATAGAACCTTTCACGGTAAATGTTGCTCCAGTGAGAAGTTAGAACAAATATTGATCCACCTATTTTACGTATATACTCAGCTCTGCGTCGCGCAAAATAATATACTATGATCAATCCTTGATGTGCGTGTGACGTCGGTGGATCTGTGGTTACTAATTTTCAACATACTCGTCAGCGATTTGACCAATATTTGTTGGTCCATCAACGGTCGAAAAAATCATACTGAATACGATTTCTTACATCCAGAATATATTTAACTTATATGCGACATTTACCTAAGCTAAGTGGATCCAGAGCCTAAACTGACATATAGGTACGCAAACACAAAGCGGCAACGTCGCGTTCTGCGTGTGACAGAGAACTATTTCGTTAGAGTAAGAAGGTAAGAAATATGCGTTATCTGATACGTTGCGTTTGAGGATCAAACTGGCAAATTTGATTGTGGCAAGACGTTTGCGCGGGTTTTTGTTATCGTGTGAGTGGAGTAAATTTTCCAATCAGAAGATGATGGTGAGTATTTTATTATCTATATTTGATTATCTATTTAGAAACTCGATATTATGTAGGTATTATATTAATGAGTTAATCCGGATGTGATCCCGGCTCAAATGAAGGGGGGCGTAGCAAAGACCGCCTCAGTGGAAACGCACCCCCTCATCCATGATCGACACGTATGATAATAAATAGGTATTCACATAATAATACCTAAGGACTTACCTAACTACCTAGTACCTACCTACCTACCTACCAGTTTTTTTACCACCAAAAGAGTTGTGATTGTGTTTAGGTAGGTTAAATAACTGTGCTGCCTGCCAGAAGCCGAATCAGAATAATAAAAGTAGATAACCAATAACTATTTAACTGACCTTTTCGCTCTGTGGTTAGTAGCTCTGGATGCGGATCCTGAGGTCGTGGGTTCGATGTCCAAACATGCCAAACATTTGTGTGACGAACACTGATGTTTGCTCTGTGTCTAGGTGTTAAATAACTACCTACTTATCTATGTATTTCTCAGGCCTCCATACCTAGTACAGTAGGTTTCACAGAACACTAAGGGAGATCAGGGACTACTCATGTGTGAAATGTCCAGGATATTTATTTATTTTATTTAAGTACTTAAAAAGACTAAACATAGGTACCATATTTACAAAATTTCAGAAGTTTTGTTTAATGACGTCGCAGCATAAGATGGCGTCTTTGTCCGTCTTTCTGTCCGTCCGTCCGTCTGCCTGTCAAGACCCTTTATCTCGGGAAAGCGTGTAGGTATCGAATTAGAATTAAAATCATATACTCAGGTATACTTACGGCCGTGCATGTTGGTTTTATATGTAAAAATTAATTATAGGGTGGGTGCCCCTAATCCCAGCTATGCCCCTAATTCCAGCTTTTTCGCCTTTTTACTTCGTAAATAAGATTTCTAGTAGTCTTAACTATAAATATTGTCACCTAAAACATTCTCCGTAATTACATAAAGAATTTTTTAAGTTGTAGCACGAATGGGTCGGCTCGACCGGGGAAGGACCACGCTCTCACAGAATACCAGCGTAAAATAGCAGCTTAACGCTGCTGTGTTTTGTATGGTGAGTGTAGAGAACCGGAGACCCTTTTTACTGGAAATGAGGCATTCCATCTTAGTCCTCACGGGTGACAACGCATCTTTATTTTGTTTGATGTAGACGTCTATGGGCCGCAGCAACCACTTACCATGAGGAGGATTGTGTGCTCGTTTGTCACCCTTATCCTATAAAAAAATTGTTTGAACGTATAAAACTTAATTTCCATCTTATGAACATAAGCCCCTAGTATTTATGGTCGCATCAAATTTAGACAACAAAAGAACAAGTAATTATGCGCTTTTACATATTTCATTACACAAGGTTGTGTAATTTGTAAAATTATAATTTCGTTCGTCTTATGAATTTTAATTATCACTGATTAGGAAGGACTTCGGCGTGCCTTGCAATCAATGCGTTGCCGTGAGAACTATAATGTACATATTACAATATCTCAAGAGTTACAACATGTTTCGAATTTCTTCTTGTCTCCGTTATTACCTGGTTTTTTCGAGTCATCCTTGCCACTCCAATCAATGCATTGTTCGGCGGCGACTTTGTAGGGCATAGATATATGCCCTACAAAGAAAACTATATGGTAACCCATCAGACAACATTTTGGACTGTTATAGACTATTTTTGTAAATTTATACGAAACTATGTCATAGGCTGATTATAGTATTTGTTAATAACTGAACTAATTTACTGTATTCCTCAATTTAAAAAAATAAATAAATAGTATAATGTAGAAGTATTTTGTCTTTTGGACGTTAACATTAAATGGTATGAGATATTAAGAAAGAATTACTTAGAAATGGATTTCGAATAATTTGGCATAATAGATGATTATATAAGTGCTAAATTATGAGAAGTAAAATCAATTAAAGTAAGTTTTAAAAAAAATATTAATCAATCAACCTATGGGGAAGCCCGGAGTAAGTTGCAAGATTAAATTAATTGGCAAATTAAATGCCAATGCATGCCAATGCATGTCTTAGCACTGATTACAGAAGCTGTTCTGTGGATGTTATTTTATTCGGTTTTTAATCTTTACTAAACGTTAATGTTTTGCTCTTTTAAATGTTTTAAGTAAAAGTTACAGCCTATATACGCATACGACCCACTGCTGGGCACAGGCCTCCTCTTATTTCTGAGAGGATTTTAGGGCTAGGAAGTGTCCGCCGCGCTGCCCCAATACGTGTTCGAAATATTTTTTCTTATTTCTCAGACATGCAGGTTTCCTCAACATGTTTTCCTTCACCGCCGAGCACGTGGTAAATCAGCACTCACAATTGCAATTAAAATTTTAATTGGCGCCGGCGGAGAACGAACCCGGGTTGCTCGCGTACTGTGAAATTTACAGCGAGCGCTTAGCCCCTGAGCTACAACGGCTTTGTGGTTTAAATAATACCGTAAATCTTTAAATTTAGAAAAACCCTTGAAATATATTCCATTTAAAATAAAAAGATCATTTTAATGGGTTCAGGAGTTTCCAAGAAATCAGTGGATATACATAAAAAAACATGCGCGTCGATTGTCGTGTTTGAAACTCTGCTAAAAAGAATGAAATCAATTTTATTATATAAAATATGCGATATTAAACAATTTGTTGTAATCCTTGTAAAATTATGCTTTTTTTTAAGATAAGGGTGACAAAAATGCAGATGCGTTGTCACTCGCGAGGATAAAGATGGAATACCTCGTTTCCAGTAAAAAGGGTCTCCGGTTCTCTACACTCACCATACGAAACACAGCAGCGTTAAGCTGCTATTTTACGTTGGTATTCTGAGAGAGCGTGGTCCTTCCCCGGTCGAGCCGACCCATTCGTGCTACAACTATACCAGTAATACAGCTGCAGCATGGCTATACCACGTTAAAAACGCTTACTTTACATTATCTCATATATAGGCTTTTTGATTTGTATGAATATGACTATGACATAGTAATGCAGTTATTTTTGTTTAAATTTACAAGTTATTTATTTTCTTTTAGCGGAAATTAATGGGGCTGTAACTAGATATACGAAATGTATGGAGTGCACAATGTCAGCCGTCAGGCTGTTATTTATTTATTATTTGTATATGCTGTTATTATTTGGTGTAATGTACCTAATAAGAAGTATGTGCCTAATTTCAGCGGCGTAATATAAATCAGGGCTGTCATAAACTGGAATAAATACCATTAATTAGATCATAACTTATTTTATACCTAAGGGAGTTATGATCAATTCGGCTGTTTTAAAATTAGTTTTAGATTTTAAAGTTTAGCAAAAGATGTACTAGCTTTTCTCTCTGACATTCGATGTATATTAAGAACACCTTATGTAATTATTCAATTATTTTTTGAGAAAGAAGAAAAAACAAGCAATAAATATAGTATATACAAGCAAAAACCATAACTTAGTAATACTAATTATAACTTGAAAATAGATGAAAAACTCATGACAAGGAATGTGGTTTAGGACCAGGCTTTGCGGCAGTCTATCTAGGAGGATGTTCAGTAGTGGACTTGTGTAAGGTTGTAATGACGATGATGATTAGAAAACTTGGATGATTAAACTATTAGAAATCGATGTACTACATAATATTTTATCATAATTTTTAACTAAGTAGAATACGATGATTTTTAACTAAGTAGAATACGATGATTTTTAACTAAGTAGAATACGATTACATTGCTGTGTTCCGCGCCCGCTCAGCGGTGAGCTCCGCCTGTACATAAATGAGCCCTAAGGTATGATCTAGACCGGGCGCGCCGCATGGAATCGCACAGAACAATTACAAAAGGAGATTCAAACATGTCAATACGAATTAACCCTACCCGGTTACCATAATACTTTATAGTTCATAAATCAAATGCTGAAATGAAACTTACTAAGTAGTGAGTTGTGACATAAAAGTACCTATAAGTC